GATGAAGGAGCCTCTTCGATGACATCCATTTTAATCATGCGGTCGATTTCTTCACATAAAAGTTTTTCTTTAGCTGGTGAAAGTGGATAGAATCGTTGCTTTATTGGCTTTGCATTGGATGTGTCGATATTGTGCTCTAACAACCTAGTTAATCCTAAGCCCTCGTTCTCGAATGATGGAAAAAAGTCTATTACTTTCTGCAATTTTGATTTTTGTAAATCGGACAATCTCACATTATTCGAGTGTTCTTCCGGTTCACAGTTAATTTCGTTGATCGCAACTGTTTGCTTGATCGAAATGCCAAAATTTTGCCAAAAATCCATTCCGCATATAACTTCATGCTTTATCGAAGGTACTATCAGGAATTCAAAGTTGTCACTAATTGAGTTATAAGTCAGGGGAATGTGTATCGTGCCTGCAACATATTGCGATTGCCCATCAGCGGTTCTCACTACCGATTTAAATTTATTAAACGGCTTAGCTGAAATTATTTGTTTTGCTAGCTCACCACCTATAACGCTTTTGTTGGCGCCACTGTCCAAGAGAGCTAAATACGGTTGACCAAATATTTCTATGTTTGTAAAAGGCCGAATATCGCTTTTGTTTTGTGCGATTGAGGAAATCATAAAACGATTTAATGATCGCTTACGAGTCCAAAATTTACGAATTCGCCGTGAAGATCGCTGTTTGCGACGATAAACAGGATTAGCTTGCAAAATTTGGGATCTACGCTTTGCGTACTCCTGTACCCGCAAATGGTATGGGTTAAAAGGTTTGGTTTCTGATATGTCTGGTTGAAAGGTAGGCAAAATGGAATGAACATCATTTGCCACAAAATCTGGTTCTGTTGGTATTTTCGAAGCTAGCGGCGGACATCCGTTTTCTTCGCGTAACGAATGTCCTTCTTGGGGTTTTCCGAAACCGAATTACATTTTGCACAGTTGGGCTTATACACCTCCGGTGTTCCACAACCATAACAAAAAATACGACGAGGTTTAAGGCAATTGTGGTAACTGTGGCCTGTTTCCTCACAGTTCCAGCACTTAATTTTCTCAGCCGTCTTAACTACACAAATTTCATCCTCGACCTCACGTTCTTCCTCCGACTGAGATTCTGAATCTTCTTCCTGCAGAATTGCGTTAACGAAACGCTTGCTTGGGTTCGAACGTTGAATGGGCTTCATTCGGGTGTTAAGAAAGAATTCTTCGTGCCTGTGACACTCCTTTCGCAATGTTGCTAAGTTTGGGGTGTCAATGTGCAATAATTCGTGCTTGATCTCCGGTCTGAGATTATGACGAACTTCTACCGCAATTTCACTGTCCTGCATTGGTTCACGAAGGGAATCTGCGATGGAAAGCATTGCATCCAAAAAGTCATCAAAATTTTCCGTGTTACCCTGTTTGCGTCTACGCATGGCACATTTAATCTCACGATCAGATCTCTGATCTTGATATCTTTCCTTTAAACGCCTGCAAAGCAAGTTCCAATTCATGTTATCTGCCGATCTATGAACGCGCCAGTAAAAGGCTAATGCAGGGCCTGCGAACAGTAAGTTAGCAAAATGGGAGAGAAGTTCAAAGTTGCCGTTCAGGCATTGTGAAGTGAGGCAATTGACACGGTAAATAAAATCTTCTATAGCAATGTCGTTAGCTGAACCACTAAATTTAATACGCCAATTGGATATAATATTCGAAATTCTGTCTGGTCGATCCAGAGAGAGATCACTTCGATCACTGCGAAAATCTGGTGAATTCCTAGCCTGTTGAATGTTGTTTCGATCTGAGTTGGCATCGGAACCGTCTCGACTGAAATCTCGCTGCGGCTCACCTTGTCCATTATTGGCAAATGTGGACCTATTCAATTGTGTGAACGCCAAAGTTATTTGTTCTGTAACTGACTGCAGCATGTTAGCTTGGAAGGTCTGCATTGACTTCTGAATCAATTTTTCCACGTGATCTTCCGTTACCACCCTCGAGTCTGAGTTACCCTCGCTACGAATTTCCTGCAGTGAATTTTGCTCAGAACCACCGTTTTGCTTTGCCGCATTTCGCGACGCTGAACGTGTCTGTACCTTGTGTCCCTGAGATCTACTAAGAGGAGCCGAATGAGGTCCTACCTCGGGTTGAGAGAAAGTTTGGCCACACCTGGGGCATTTGTCGTTGTTCTTGCTATAATTGTCAAGGCAAAGCTTGTGGAAAGAATGCTTGCAACGGGCTTCAAGTAAATCCAGATTACACACTGGTCCGTTGCAGATGATGCAATTTGCAGACTCATCAGTCTGAAGATCTACTAAATTTTCATTGCTGTGTGTCAACATTTTTGACGCTTTTCGAAATATAAAACAAAAAAACGAAATGAGATACGGTAAGATAAGATAAGATACGATATAACGAAAACAAACTGGTCGTTCGAGATGAATACGATATACGATAAATGAGAAATGCAGTTTAGGTCTTACCCTGGGTAGTATAGCAATTGGTTGTGTCATTCAATAGGTACAAATGTTGTAAACGGAATGTAAATAAAGGGTAGTAAAATAAATATCAATTTATTTTGTCTTACCAATTAGAAGAGTAACTAGCCGAATCTATCCAGCCAGATAAAATCTCGATCCTAACTGATAAGAAGGTAGTGTTTGAATATTGAAATCCTGGTATAGAACCGACTTTGAATCAGAACTATAATTCCAAGGAATCAATTACTCAAATTGGAATGTTCTTTTAACTATAATGTTCGATTATTACCGAACTGATAGAAAAAAAACAGTTAAAAGTATTACATTTCCTCCGGTATGGCTCCGAACCTATCCAGATGCCATCAATTCCAGGACAGAATTTGAAATACTAAACGGAAACTAGAAGTGGATGGTTTGAATATTAACGGGAAGCTCGGCTGTCAAACGACAGGTGCCTAATCAGGCATCGGGCTGGCCTTAACGTTTGGGCGCCAATTAATTATGTAACAAACACACTCACCGAGCGTTGTCCACCTCAACACGCTCTGTCTACTTTTTCTGCTCGGCAGGCTCAGGGAAAATGGGCGTGGGTTTTGTGTTGACATGAACAATGGTGCTACATAACTAATATTGTAGACAGAGATACTCTAGCTGGGGATATGGTAAATAATATGAATCAGACGAAGGAAGTGTACCTATTGAAGATGAGGCTCCGATGTTATTGGCCTCAATCTAAACCCTCCCAACCTGTGAAGTCCATTCAGGCTCCACCCTTATACAACCAATGCTCTACATCCCCTTAGGTGCCCAACAAGATATCAAATTAGTTCATTTTCAAAGTCATATAATTGCAGGCTGAGATAATATTGAAAGACATTTTCCTAAATCTAATCCTTAAGCCTAAGTTTACGTTATTTACGTTACGAGACCTCTTATTGAGTCAGTTTGTTTTTTTAGATCAAATGAAAGGAAATAAAATTTAAGATAAGAAAGAACGCTTTTTCCTTTTTTTACTTTACATTAAATAGATTAACTTATTAATATTCTTTTGAATCAATTAATTAATTAAGATGTGCAAACTATTTCAGGAGTCTTGGCGAAATTATAAGTATGGGTTCAGTTTTATTTTGTTGTTTTGCGGCTAGGCCGTACTCACGCTTTCTCCATCGACGTCAGCAGGCCTGATGACTGGTGATGTGTAGCTGTATGTGTTTTAAGTTATTTGAGGGACAAAACGATATTATAATTGCCAAATCTCCCAAAAAAAATTGCTAAATTACGACCGAAAAGGTTTATAAGTACGAATTCTTAAATCAAAAGCTCCTATATGCAAAATTAATTATATTTTAGACACTATCATTCATGTTTATCCGCTCCTGGAGCAGAGTGTGGGCCGGATCAGCCACCAGCTCTCAATACGGATATGTAATGCTACTTCCGTCGTTCGCGCTGATGAAGATGACACGCACTATGTGCGACAGGGATGGCCGCAATCCCTTGCGTGAGGCGTGAGCGGAACGAGACCAGCCCGCCAAGGTGTGGATGCGGCAGAGCGCACGCGATGTGGCAAAGATGCACGGCGATGTGGCAAAGAACGATGTGGCCACGAAAAGACACACGGCGATCCAATAGGTGCGCCGAAGAAAAGCACGGTGATCCAATATGTGCACCGTGTGAGGGAACGGCGATCCAATATGCGCGCCGTGTGAGGGAACGGTGACACGTTAGCGAGGCGGTAAAGAAAATCCAAATCGAGGATCACCGCAATCGGCACGTGTATGGCCGCCGAAATGGGAAGCGCAGCCCCACGCTGTGCGTGCGAATGCTCCGATGACACGTGGCGTTGATCCCGCTGAGAAGCCACAGACAATGCCAACGATGAATGCCACAAATGACTGCCACCTCACGTGGTGGGCAATTGCTGGCAAAAACAATGCCGGTCGCTTGGACGACTCTGCCGATACGGCTGACGCTGTTTTGAAAAGGCAAAATTAGCACTCCGGCGATCGATTATTCACACAAGCTTACCAATATACGTTAGAGCACTAAATTTACTTAATATGGGTATGATTCGCTTTAACAAATACTGTCGGATCGACACGATGCTTGCGGATTTAGGATCGACAAAAATTAATCCGAACTCGGGGACGCCTTGTGAGAAAGAGAACGGAAGTGAGGGGATCCAATGTGACCGTGGCTTGCAAAAATCCTGTTCGCGAATTTTTGTGGTCTTTTTTAGGTCCTATCGCATATTAGCGATTTGGCAGGATCGTAACTTTAACAGCCCGGTTGTTTGAAAAATGTGGGCGATAAAACTTATCGAGTTGCCACACTGGCTCGATTCCCACAATCGTCATCGGCAGCATCATCATTATCGTCGTTGGCGTCGTCATCCGCAAATGCACATACATAGGTAAACACACACACACACATCACAGCCAGAGCTGGCTCACCTTATGTACAGGTGTACACCTTGCAAAATAAAGGTATCCACAGGGTAATTATAGTTATAAAACACTACAGATATTAGGTTTGCATGATTTTATTCACTTCATTCATCCAAGGATCTAAGGTATTTCCATTCAAAATGTAACCCAGTTTAGCAGTCAGCTTCTGGTTCACCTGGCTCATCATGGTGACAACCATTGCTGTTGGGAATCTGTACGTTGGCACAGTGGTCCAACGGCTTCGAGATCACCAGCTCGCCAGCGCAAACGTAGGAAGCTCAGAGTCGGAGCATCGTCCTTTCTCTCCCTGTCCAGCGACTGCACCCGAGTCCAAGTCGGCTGCTGATTGGGAATCTTCTCCCTCTTCCGGCTTACAGAGCGACTGCGAGGGGCAGCAGAACTGCCAGAAACTGCAGAACAATCCAAAAAATCCTAGAGTAAAGCTCCTTTGATGGGTCCTATATATATATCTCACCCGATCCTTGGTAATCAGTAAAGTTGTCTAACTTGCGGCCCAGAAAGTTGGGCAACTTCATTTGCAGATGCTTATCGGTGATGTCTTGGAAGAGCTTGATTTGGTTGTCCACCTTCTCCTTGTACAGGATGGCCATCTCGTCGACATTCAGCAGAGCGGCATCCAGTTTGATTTGGGCTAAGCTCATCTTCTCCTCACGGTCGGCTTCCTGGCGAAGATTGTCCTTGGAGCGGGGCATTTTCTTTTATTACTTTTACTGAAATCTTTAAAAGCTTCAAGTTGATTGAGCAACTAACTCAAGGCTTGCCTAGATGTTGAAAAATGTATGGAAATTCCCAGATAAAAATCGATGATTTTACAGCTTTGCAATGTCATTTCACATTTGAATTAATATTTTCAACGAAATTATTTACCAGAAAAAAAGCAAAATTACTTGAAATAAATGTTGTATTTGAATCAATGCGGTAATACCTCTTCGTTTCCATCCTATATCTATAAATTTAGCCGTTATTATGCGCACTCCCCGCCGTTTATGAGCAATTACGGCCAATAAGGATAATTGGAGACTAGGTATTGACCTAAGTATTTCAAGTATAATTTGCCATGAGACCAATTAATCGAATCGGGGTCACTGGAAATTAGTTTAAGAGCGACCTATTTCTCTTTGTGTATGTCGGCGATCGGTATATATGGTCGTGTGTTCGCACACATATATTCATATATATACAACGCTTTGGCTACTGTCTGTATGAATGGGCCAAAAGTCCTCCAACCACCACACCCAACCCCCTTAGTTCCGCCTCTGTTTTCACTTGCTGCACAAACACAACAAACACCAATTCAACTGCAATTGCATGCAATGCATTTTGCATTTTGGATGCCCCAGACAAACACTCAACGAAGTGGCACTGAGGGGAGAGGGCGGACAAAGCATCGGCATCTGCTGGCCATGAAATAATCCTTAAAAGACCACAAAACGATTTTATTCAATTAAAATGTCAAAAACGGTGTTTGTTTTCGTTATTTAATGCTATAAATATTTACACTTTTATCTATGCCGCCGCTGCTCCCACTGCCATTTGCCGATTTTCATACCAAAAACTCAACAATTCAACAATTTGCCGAGTTGAGTGCATCAAGAGAGTCCATGAATGGGCCGAAAGCGAAAGTTATTCACTGTATATCTTGATCGGGTTAAGTATTTGCATACTTGCAGCTTGAACTGATTGGGAATCATAAGGGCTCAAAGAGGGGAAACAAATGCAAGGGAAGGTGCCAATTTATCTCTTTACCTCTTCATCTCTTTCTCCCACAATAATTAGTATGATTGGCAGACGTAATTCCATTAAAGTAAAAGGAATCTATAACTATTTAATGAATGGAAAGCAAGCACAAAAACATTCCGAGATTTCCAAGCTAAAGGCAATGGAAGCTGGCTGCTGGTCAACAAGTTTCTAATTCGTCAGATTGTTTCAGTTCGAGGGCGCATAAACATTGCTTACATAATAATTATTATGATTATCATATTGAAAGGGGGAAAGGGAAGTGGAAATAGGATATACGAGAGGGGAGGAAGAAGGTCGAAGGACATAGGCATGGCCGATAATTTGTTGTTGCTGTTAGCCGAACATTTTTGGCTTATTGCAAATTTTGGGCACGTACAACTCGTAAAGACTATTTACGATTCTAATAAAAAGTGTGCCCCTTTGCCCGGGGACCTCCCACCGTCCACCGCGTGTCATCCCTTTTGAAGGAGTAACCAAAGTTGAAGTCCTGCCGGGGGTCCTTATAATAACGAGCCGTCTCTACCGTCCTCCTCGGTGTCCCCCTCTCTCTCTTTCTCCCTGTGTGTGTGTGCATGGAAATTGTTGAATTTGCTGCTAATTAAATTGCCGGCGCTGCTTGAAATTTGCATTCGCTTTTAATAAACTTCGCCGAGAGTGAATGGAAAAGGATGTGTTGGAGCAGGAGGGTCTCCTCTATGGACATACAGAGAAAGGACATAGGGAGGCGAGAGAGTTGCCTCCTTATTAGGGGGCAAATATCCCTGACAAGGCACTGACAAAGACATTTTAGTTGGGAATTCCTTTTGCCTTTTGCCTTTTGCTTTGCCGCCAGAAGCAACAATGTGAGGAATCCATGTAGATGACTCTGACGATTCCAACGATTCCTACGATTCCAACGATATTCCGGATTCCGACTCGCCACCGCTGGTATCCCACAATTCGTTTTATATTTGCCATTCAATTGTTTTTTATTTGCCAGTATTGCTTCTCTTACCTCCCATGGCTGCTGTCTTTTTCACCACGTCCTCGTCCACCTCGTCTCCTTGTTCTGCACTGGTTGCATTTTTAAAACACACTCGTTCCCGCGTGCCTGGACCTTTGCTGGGAAATATTGGGAGTGCTGGACTAGCCTTTTCGTGGGGAATCCCGCAGCTGAAATTCCTTAAATATCCTCTTCTCTGGAAACTGATATCGAAATGGATGGATATATTCCTATAAAGTAGAACTGGATGTAAATAGATTTTTAGTAAATCGACTTTTTTCTACAAATTTCTAAAAATAAATCAATTAAAATCGAAACTTTTTCGATTAAATCGATATCTCTTACAGCTTTTTAATAATAACCTCTTCACACTGCACTTGCATTTAGTATTTAGTGTTAATTTAATTAAAATTAATTAGAAAGCGATTCCATCTAGGGTATCCTCTTAGTCATTATTTAACCCAAACGCTCATGTACCCTTGGCTACTTTCGTGCCCCGTTCAGATGCATTGATTGCCACCTGGCAGCAGCCACCTGCAACGATGCTTCTGGCTTCTGTCCCACAGTCCCAAAGTCCTCATGTCCTGATGTCCCGATGTCCTGGTAGCTGGTTGCCTGTGGCTAGCTCTCGTTTTAAATCAATACAACAAATTTCGCGGGTCGCCATGAACCACCCATGGTTGGTATTGGCGTTGGTGTTGGTGTCGCCCCCCGCGGACTCCATCTTCTGCTCCATGCCGTGTGCCGTTTAAAATGTTCTGAGTAATTAACACGCGGCGTGTGTAACCCCAAATGGTCATACCGAACGGAGTGGGAAGAGGAGCTGCATCCGGATGGGGACCTGCGACTTTGACTGTGACTGTGAAAATGTGCAGCGTAAGCGCAGCATCCGGGAAAAGGAATACGGAGCACGAGCTTCCAGTACGGAGCACGGGGACCCACGCACATGGCCAAAAAGTTACACGTCCCCAACGATGGCTATATGGATGTGTGTGCAACTTTTATTTATTGATTTAATACTTTTTCAATTTACTGCAAATGGCCAAAGAGTTTCCGTTGCATATGTGCGAATGGTGTGTGTGTGTGTGTGTGGATAGTGTGTGTGTGTGCGAGCCATAACTACCTTTCTGCCAACTAATTCCGAACCAATGGATCCCTCGCCATCCGGCAGCTGGCAGCTGTTCCCACAAGGAATACGAAGAATCATCGATGGCCATGGCAGACTTTGTCCGCCAATTGCCATTAGACGACGAAGGGTCTCAACTGGCGGAATGGGGAATATGTGTAACTCGTCTTACTCTAGCTTTCCCCAATTAATATATGAACAGATTCAAATCAAGGTTTTTGTGCTAGAACTTATTAAATTTTGAAAATAATAAAATTACATACAAATATCTATTTAAAAAATTCAAAATAATATTTAAAGTTTAATGATAATTGTTGATATTCCATAGCCTAAGCCTGGCCTCGGTTTATGTAAGTAGTGCCTGGTAATCGGTGTTAAGATGCCGCAGCCTTTAATCTAAGGGGAAGAGTGGGGGGGAGAAAGGAGAGCCGCAAAAGAAATGTTAGACCAACTCCCAGTGGGAGGCAATGCCAGCGCATTAACAGAAGCTGCAGCGTGTCCCCAAGTCCCAGTTGCCTGCGTCCAGTGTCGTCGTCGTTGTCGCTATAATCGCTGTCGGCTGGGTGGAGCTCCTGCATACAACCCTCTCCCGGAAATGGAAGCGGAGCAGTTGTTCGCTTGGCTCTTAATTCACAATTTAATTTCACAGTGAGTTGCGCGCCGAACAAAGAAAGCGGCGCGGATGGGGGATAGCAGCTACTCCGGCGGGGATCCTCCACATGTGGATCGCAGATTTGAATTCCGTTCCTTCCTCCTAGTTTAGCCCCGTTGTCATTGCCCTAGTCGGGTTGCATCGACCAGGAACCATGCCCTAAATCGCCAACGAGAACTGTGAACCGTGACGCCACCACGTCCTTGCCCTTGAAGCGAGGCCAGTGTCGGGGTCGGGGTCGGGGTCGGAGTCGGGGTCCTTCGAGTTGAAGTGGGCACCGTAATCGGACCGGATTTGGTGTCCGGAAAAAGCGCGTGTAAAACCTACGCGCGGAAAAGTAACTGAAAATGGTAAACATTCAATGAAGCGAAATTGATTTGATTCAATTTAAAAGTTGAAAGCACTCGTCCAGCGAAGCCAATAACAACAGCAACAACAGATCCACAAGGACCAGCGGAAAAAAGAACAATAGGAATGAAGGACGCGCATAGCCACAGTACTGTCTTTGCTCCCTTTATGACCTATTTATATCCTTGCTGAGGGTACTGTAAGTTTACGTAGAAGTTTGCAACGCATTATAAGAGAAAAGAACATCAGCCAGGTCGATCTAGCACCGTGAGCGCCTGTCGCCCTCGGATTTATCTATAGAATTATCGTTACATGGAGCCTGGAGCCGGAGGATAGCATGATGAAGGTCTAGGAGATCTACGCTCACCTTCCAGTGCATCAATTTGTGTGCCATGTACAACATGCAACAAACGTGAGAAACTAAAATGAGTGCAATTTGTATGCCACGTTTACGTAGAAAAGCAGTCGGAGGGGAGAGGATTGGTTATAGGATATCTGGGATAGGAGCCCGACTCGTCAAACCGAAGATCCTCCGAGTCCCCACAGCCCAACCACAGGTGCATCTTTTCAGTTGGGGGACAAATTTCATTTTTGCATCAATTGTCGCATAAATTATACAGATTAACACACACACACACACAGGATATGGGAGCTGCTCTCGTCCTTGTTCATCATTAAGTTATTATGGGGCTTTCTCAAAAGAACACAACTCGACCTGTTTGGGTCACCAGCACCAGCACCAGCACCAGCACCCATTGTCCCAGCCTTTGCCATTGCAGCTGTTCGTGTGCCTCGGTAATTGTTTAAAGTAACTGCAACAACTTGAAGCGGAATGCCAGCCAACAGGGAGACAGACAAAGTCTATAGGAAGGGGTAAGTCCTTGCAGGACCTAGACAGAGACCGAACCGCGACCTAGAGGCTTTAATTGGCCGAGAAACTTGGTCCAGTAACAGCGGGACATCCAGTCCACGTTATTTCTTGAGGCCATTTCATAAGATTCATCAAGTTGGTAGAGTGCCATTTGACTTATAAAAAGGAAACAACCATTTGTTACCTTCGTCATATTTATTGACATTTTTGAACACATCGGATTATCCTATTTCATCGCTTTGTCAGACGTGGTACCTCCTAGGCCTCATCTGCTCAGACGGTCAAGTTAACAACATCCTCAAAAAAGTCCATTACCATTTGCGGGATCTTCTCAAAAGCCACCGATCCGTTCACCCATTCGGGTTCTTCCGCGCCTACAAACTCAATGAGCAGTAATGTAACTCCGCATACTTTGCAGTAGTCAAGTATTATCTCGGCCTCCAAGAGGAGGAGATCCATTTTGTGCTTGTAATTGGAAAAGGGATACGAAAATACTTCAAAATATCGCAATATTGTTGTTACCTGATGTATTACAAGCGCTTGTTTTTTGTTCTTTATATACTTGGGACCTTTCCTTATTGCTCGCCTCCTCTCCAATATCCAATGTATCACTATTAACAGGTCAAGAAGACGCCCGCGAAACCGGGCAGTGGTCAGAGGACCTGTCAAGCCTGATCGCCCAGAAACAGAAGGCCCCGGACTTCATGGCTAGGCAACGAGGGCGGACCCACAGAAACGATCCTGCGGGAGCTAGAGAGCTTTCGTTCCGACCCTCCTGATGGAGCTGATGGGTAACAATTTACTCCACTGGACAGTAACCATCTAGGGTCCGCCAGAAACTCCATACGAGGGCGGGGTATTTCGCCTTGAAATTGTATTTCACGGGGATTACCCCTTCTCCCCGCCAACGGTGGTCTTCCGAATGGGAGTGTACCACTGTAATGTGGCTCTCTCGGGTTACATCTGCCTGGACATACTCAGCACGGAGTGGTCATCGGCGTTGGGAGTGTCGCCAGTGTTGCTCTCAATTGTGTCGCTGCTGGCGGACCCTAACTCCGACGATCCGGTAGACCCTTCTGTTGGAAATTTATACATGGAAAACCGCAAGAATAACGAGGCGAAGGCACGCGAGTGGACCAAGAAGTATGCCAAACCTGACCGGAAGGGCCAATAGACGCGATGCCAGTTGACTTTCCTGGATGTTCCTTCAAATGAGATGGATTACCTTTGAAAATCCCTTGAAGATTGATATGATTTAATGTACTTGACAATTAGACACAACCATTAAAAAACATGTGCATCAAGTTTTCGGTTTAAATTATTTTAAATTCAACTTAAAAACAAGGAAGGTGCTCCTGCTCCTTCACTCCGTTTAATGATGAAATTTGATTAATCCATGTAAAGTATGGGTAAAACTGGACTGGCCAATTGTTTTTACTGTGATTGCCTCGCATTGTGTTGCAAATTGAAGATGTATCTTGCAGATGCAATGGCTTGCAGATACATTTGCGGACCATGTTACGGGCGATGCCCATCAGCGAAAGTGAAAGGGAGAAGCCGGCCAGGAGGCGAGGCCACAACAGTGATGCCTCGTGGCAATGAACCAATGATCGAATCATTGCTAAGGTTTGGGGGAAATATAAGCGATTCACTACTCCTTATCCTTGAAGACTATCTTAAAGATATATGATATATATGTATATATTTATTTTTTTTTTTTATAATAAAACTTGAGGTATTATTATACCATTTAAATACCCCTTGGAGGCTAATGCTCACTGTTCTTTATTGCGAATTGCCCTTAGCTGCGCAATCTTGAGCCATCTGACAGGTCATGCCAAGACACAAACACAGGTGAGTGAGTGGCGGTGGCAATGGCATTAGCGGATGATGTCCCATCAGATGGTGGACAGAGACTGGAAGGGGGACGCTTACCGCGAAGTGGGGCAGAGGACACTGGCAGGCGGAGAACAATGGGACGCCTGCAAGTGCCTGTACGAGAGTTCAATGGAAATGCCCAGGCCCAGCTCTGTATTTGTGTGTGTGCTGTCAATGACATCTTCTGCGGCCAGAGGCGGCGAAAAGGGGAAGGGTTGCAAGATTTCCAGCAATAAATATTATTAATAGTGAATATATGAATAATACAATTACTATATCATATATGTAACAGTCACAGTCTTAATATCTACATAGTAACCCTCGACTTACCTGTCAAACCTGGTCGAAAGTGCTTTGAAGAATTCAAAAAACTTGAAGAGAAGAGAAGATGCCTCGCCTCCGGGACAAGGCCGGCAGGCTGGCAAAGCGCCAGGAAGCCGATCGCGAGGAGAAAGTCCACTTGACCCAAATCAAAATGGATGCCGCTCTGCTAAAGGTCGACGAGATAGCCAGACGCCACATGGAGCAGGTGGACAGCCGCATCAAGCTCATCCGAGATACCACCGCCAAGGAACTGCTGAACATGAAGTGGTCGGAGTTTTTGGCCCTCAAGCTTGATAGGTTTGCCGACTACCAAGGATCAGGTAAGATACACTCATGGTACTCTTGAGAGAACATTCACTGGAGGATGACTTCAGTTTCCACCAGTACTGCTGCTCCTCGCAGCCGCTCGGTAAGCCGGAAGCCGGTGGAGAGGATTCGCCCTAAGCAGCGAACTTGGACTCGGGTACAGTCGGTGGATAGGGAGAAAATGGATGAAGAAATTCCAACTCTAAGCTTCCTGCGCTGGCCCCGTGCCGGCGAAGCAGTGCTCTCGACGGCGGGCAGCCCGCTGGCCGTGCCCAAGGCCTTGAAGGAGCGCTGTGCCAACGTGCAAATCCCCACCAGTAAGGGGCTTATCACCATGAAGCCGCACAAGATGATGAACCAGGTGAAGCGCGAGGTGCTGATGACTTTGGACCAGAACACCCTAGCCCAGGTGAAGGCTCTGACTGCCAACCTGGATGAAATTGTGAATATGGCCACCAAGATGGGCAAACTTTAGATCGAATAAAATAATATTCTATGCAGAGTTGCATGCATATATGTACGCTCTACGCCCATGACCGCATCCCTAGTGTGTGGATGTGTGTGGTGTGTGTATTGTTGGTCGTATTTCACTTGACCATTATCCGTTGTTCTCAGCAGAAGCAGACAATTTTGGCCAGCGGGTAAAACAAAGCGGGAAAGGGTTGGCTGCCGTGTGGATAGGGATGGTTAGGGGGCAGGGGGTGCAGCAGCCAGGTAGCGTTAACATAAATCAAAGCTTGGAGCTCAAAAGCGAGCGACAGGCGCAGAAACTGGCCAAGGAGGGATGGGAGGATGAAACTCAATAGGACCGCAGGCAATGCGACTGGGCAGTGCTGTTGTTTTTTAAGAGAATAAGGTTTTTTTTTTTAATATCTATCATCTATAGATATATATCTATGTATAACCTCTTGATATCTATATAAATATCTATTAGGATATCTATCCAAATATCTATCTAAATATCTTTCAAAAAACACATATTCTTATTAATTCTTTCTCAACAAATATATTTTAATTAGCGCAAAAATAAACAAAAATGTATTTCATTTATTGCCAAATCTTTCCCCCAATTTCCCGTGGTTAAGGTTGCTTTTTCCCATAAAGGTAAGACTGCCTTGTGATGTGGTGAAAGACTGACACACTTCCAGCTGCATTTCGGCACGTGCACTTGAAAAGCCCAGCCATGCCAGGACGCGGAGGAGCAACTCCAGAGTTGTCACAGTGCTCTTCGCCGGCTTTGAGCAAAATTAGACGGAGCATAACCAGGAGCGACACCAACAGAGGAGAGGCCCACATGGGCTGGGCGTGGCTGCGGAGGAGGGGGAGGGTAGGACATGGGCGTGGGGAATGCCTCGCGTCATTGCCAGTCATATCCTGCGGGGATAAGCGCACTTTATGCAAAACGCACAACTTTTTTACTTTTCACTATCGCGGCGTCCCGGTCGCCTTGTCTCTCACTCTCTAAACACTGGAAAAAAAAATCTAAAAATATTTTAAATAAAGCAAGGCTGCCCCAGAAATCATTTTGGATTCACAAACCAGCAAAAGCGCTTCGATGTCTTACAAAAGCCACATAATTTCCAAAATTATCTCAACTTCCAGCACAAGCTTTTTCCCAAAATTACCTACAGTCCCCAAGTTTTTCTAAGTGCATTTCTGTGACGCGCCTTGGCAGGCGAGAAAAGCGCAAACAGCTCCGTGATTCAGCAGCTCCCGCTCCAGAGTTGTGTTGGGTTCGTCCTTGTTATGTCGCCGACAATGCCTCGAAGATGATGGCTTTCAGCAGAGATTTGCCACCGGAACGGAACGACGAAGGGCGTGCAGCATCAAGGATGCTAAGGATGCGCAAGGATACGCGCGCGCGTGCTAGTGGGGTTGGGGTAGGGGAAGTGACAGTAAAAGGCACAAAGGCGACACGAGAAACAACGGTAAAAGCGATGGGAATTGATTGAAAAGTGAAGAAGCGCTCAAGGACCTAACTAGAGAATTAAGATATACGATCAGCCCCATCCCAATCCCTCTATACTCCACTCCACTCCCGTCCCCATTCCCGCCTCCGGCGATTTGATTATGCTAATGAAATAACAAGCCCATAAAACTGAAAAGAAGTGGAACATTGGAACATCGGCGAAAGAATAAAACTATGCCAATGTCAATGCCAATTCCCATTCACACGCACGCACATCCCGGGAATGTTGGGATGCCTCGAATGCTGGGATGTTGGGCGCTGGATCTGGGGGTGTGGCATCCCATCCTCAAGGCTACTGAATGGCTGGAGGTGTAAAGTGCAAAGGTTCCGCATATTTGGGCCGTTGAAAGGGATGGTGGTGAAATGGAAATGGAAATGGGCGGCAGACAGAGGTATTAAAAGAGGCGGAGTTGCGTTGTCTGACCTGCCTATGGGAATAATGGGATGCCCTTACAAGTCCCATTTGAGTCCATGGGAGACCAGCAGCAAGTAAATCAATTAAAGCACAATACTTTTTGTGCATATATCAGTGTGTGTTTGTTTGCAAAGGGTTAGGGAACTCGCACAAAAACATTTAGATTTCTGAGGCTACAATCACAGCTCTTCCTTAGCTTAGAATAAGATTTATGATTGTTTCCTTTATTGCTTTCAGTTGTATTTATTTTATTTTTATTTAAAGTAATGCTTTTAAACTATAAAACAGTTTAATGGATTCGTTCTCGTTGTTTCTTTGCCGTTTTTACTCGTTGCCTTATATTTTAGAATAAGTAATTTAATGATTTCAAAGTTATTAAACTGAATCATATTTATTATCACATATTATCCACTATTATATTACTGAATCAGTATATTATTTATTAAAAGATGTTTATAAAGAATAATAAAATAGTTGTCTCGTTACTCGCTACATTGATTTGCGTTTGCTCGAAAGTTTTGTCAATTGTTTTTAAGGATACTCTAGAATGAAAGATAATTGTAATTTATTAGTTTAATTCCATATTAATAAAACTGATTATATTATTTATGAAATGACGAACTATATATTTAGATTTTTTTTTTTTTTTTAACTAGTTGCCTCTGACTCGTCGATTTTGCTCGCCGTTGCTATTCGTTGCCTTAAGCTTCGTTTCAACGGTTGCCCTGGGGATATTCTAGAATATTTCAAATAATAATTTAAACAATAAATTTGGCTATATGTATCAAGTTGTCTCTGCTTCCTTGTCTTGATACTTCTTTTACTCGCTTGTTTCAACATCTAGGATTTTCTACAATAAATAATGATAATAATGAATATTTATTATTATGAAATGTTGCCATTTTTTCTGCTTTAAATATGTCTTAATCATAAACAGTTTATTCCAGCTTGAATGAGAACCAAGTTTCTCCTGTATCCCGTGACCTCCTTCTTACACGAAGCAAATGAAATAAACGTCAAGTAGCTAATCGAAATACTCCCCTAAAAACGGCATATCCTTTTTAGTAGAGAATCTAGTGGGACAAAACAGAATGGTCCAATGAACCAAATTACTGGCAGCGCTGCAGCAACACCTTTTGGACATTAAAGAAGCCCCCGAAGCACGAAGGACCAAGGACGAAGCATCCAAGAAACGAAGGCAGGAGGCAGGAAGGCAGGAAGGATGCAGGCGAAAATGCAATCGCAGGAAGGAAGGAGGACTGGCCGGGAAGTGTGCTTGGGGGCATCTTCACTCGATGGCCAGCCGCCTCACTCTTATGTGACACTCCAAAGACTACCCAGGATTCTGGTATCCTTTGCTGGTATCCTTCTTGGGCCCCAAGCTTACCTCTCCAGCTTATTCTGCGCGTTTTTCTCACACGTTCTTCCTTTTTTTCTTGCCTTCTTGCTTTTTTGCATATTTATTGTATAGTTTTGTAGTTTTATCAAGTTAGCTAGTTAAAAGTCAAGATGCCACCAAGTGGTGGGTGGCGAGTGGTGTTATGCTGGGTGGCGGGTGGTTAAAGGAGTGAAGCACCTGCTGCAGGTGGATGAGCACGTGCATGGCGCCATGTCGGCAGCTGCCAACGATTCTTGGTTCCTGGCTGGAAATGGAAACACCCCGGAACCCCATCCCATTGGCTTTTATTAGCTACGTGCGACGGTCACAAAGGGTGGCAGGAGGAGCTCGTGGAGTACGTTGAAGGGGAGGTCATCGCGGCGAAGCTTGCTAGGCGCCGACGATAAGATGAGCGTGCTAAAGTTTTATTGCCGCATATTTAAGCTATTAAAAAATTCATGCATAAAATGACACACACTAACACCCACCCACACACACACTCACTCAGCTCAAGGAGGAACAAAATTAAAAACGCAGTGGAAAGAAGCAGCCAGAAAATAGAAAATAGAAAGGGGAAAGTGTAAAGTTGAAGCTTGAGTGTGCTGCAAATGTCGGCGGATATCCGCACTGCAAGGATAATGACTGTCAAGGCACCCACTGCTCCGCACCGACTGCTACGCGAATGACTCGGGGGCAATGCAAATGAAACGGACACAAATGCATTATCATAATGCACATATCCGGCTTAGAAGTGAAATAATGATTCCCTGACCAGCTCCCTGATGCACACCTTTGGGTAAAATAAAGAATAAAAAGGTTAAACGACTCTATAAAGCATAATAAAACCGCAAAGTAATGCTGATCAGGACAAACTAAAAATATATCCAGTTCAACTTCCCTAATAAGCATTCGGAAAGGGTTAGCCGGATTCTAGAGAGAGAGGTTGGGGCAATAAGCAAAACGTTTTATGTTGAATACCGCATCGTTATCTCCATGGTGGGGTCCAGTCGCGTTGAGATAAAAGGCAAGGAGTTCTGGCTTACTGGAGGGGCAATGAGGTCCAAGTTGGAGTCGGCGTCCAGCTGTCCAATTTTGGCCCAAGGCTTCCGAAATGCTGCAGAATTCGCGTGAACCAGCAGTTGCAGCTGCACTGAGAACAATGTATACCTAAAAAGAGCAAGTTTATTAAATATAATTATAAAAATATATAATACAAATATCATTTACAGTTAAATATTAAGAAAATTAGTATGTTTACAATGCCAAAACTATACTAAGAGGCTGCTTCTTATCTTTAAAAAGATTCCTGCCAGAAAATATATCTTGGAATAATACTAAAGACCTGGTATATGACTTATGTAGCAGTTGTTTATAGGAATATCGAAGTCTTAACACAAAAAACTATATTTTAAGAGACACGCAAAGTTTAAATTTAAGTACATATATTAATCGACAACATATATACATATATTTTTTATTAGTATGTATATTATTTTTGGTTCTCAGTGCCAGGACGAGCTCCGCTAAAGTCCCTCTAACCCGTAGCCGAAGCCGTAATAACTATAATCATCAACATGGCGGCCACACATATACACACACACACCATGACCGTTGTTGCATGTTCTTCATTTCGTTTTCTTAATTTTATACACACGCTTATTTTCATTCCGCTGCCTTTCTGTTTGCTTTTCCCGCACAGTTGCCGTTGCCCTGCCCGTCCTTTTTTCCCTTTGCCGTTGCCACGCAGTTTTG